TTTGCTTTAAACTGTTGTGTGCTTGGAAAAATATAAATTGTAATGTTAAAAATCTAAAAAAAGCTTGACAGGTTAAAAACTTAAGATAAATCACAAGACAGAATCAATGTCACAAATAAATAACTTTTATTTTAGAGTCACAGTATGTTTATACAAGATAATACTATTAATATAATGTGACTTTTCTAGAGAATCGTTATACATAGTTATTTTATACGGGGTTTCCAAAGTCTTACATAATTTCAGAATTCCGTGACTTTTAACTGACTCAGTATTAGTTTTCCCTGTCGTTTTGGTAACTACATCCAAATTACCGCTAGGTGGACAAAAATTACGCCATCTGGCGGAAAATCACGCGCCTTTTTCAAATCACGCGAGAATGCGTACAAAACAACAAAATGGTGCCGGCAACGCTTGTGGGTCCTTTTTTAAGCGAATGTCGGTAATTTAAAAGTAATTTTGAGTGATAAAATTTTTTTGCGATGATTGCACTTGTACTCTCCCGACAATAAAAACGACTTGCCCCGGGCGATCGGGCAATGGTTAACATCGAGCCCTGAGAGCGTATGTCCAACGACAGCCTAACATATGCATAGTGCATGGCAGCGTAATGCCCATGAAATTACGCACAAGCCAGTGTCCTGAGGGGGTTAGCATGGGGGACAGCGATGCACCCGGGCTGCATAAAAACATGTCTTTGATAGTATTAATCTAGCTGCCGTTTATCCCCCACCCAAAAAAAAAAAAAACAAAAAAAGAAAGAAGGTTTGCAGTCACAGCAGATTCAGCATCATGTTTACTAGGAAGTTTGTTGGTCGTGGCCGTGGGCGTGAACGCAGGGAGGATCCATGACACTCACCTTCAAGGTCACCCTATGATGGTGGATGAAGTCTAGAGGACAACAGACGGTTTCCTCTTGTGAACCCCCTTTTATACCAAAACACTGTCAATACGCCATTATACAGTAGCTGCAAGTTAAAAACAAGTTTAGCAGTGGTCTGGAACACGTCAAATACGTTGATATGCCTTGGAGATAAGTTCTCGATAATTTATGCACAAGTTACTTATAGGTTTTGGATAAGCTAGACACACCGACTCATGAGTAACTTAAATTAATGTGTGTCAAGAATCAGATACCTTAGCTATAACTTATGCTCAAAGTATGGCATACGCTGACATACGTCAAGCTCAAAACTTCTCGACGTACATGCCGCATGTCGACGTGTGCCAGTGGGTTTCAGCAAACTTCAGCGTACCCATAACTAATACAAAACGTACCCATAACTTATCCAGTGTATATCAGCCTTTTTGCCACATTTTTTGTACATCAGGCATACGCTGGTCTAAATCAAGGTGTGACAGGGTCTTTAGAGAACAAAAGGACAAAGGCTCCAATGCTTTGGTTTAATTACAGGGGATCTAACAACAGTTTGCTGGATTTCTTACAGGAGTCGAAGGGAAATACAATTTTTGCTTAGTTCTTAGGTCAGGATTTTTATTTGCAGCTCAGACACCTAGATCTTTTTTTCCCTTAAAAAAAGCAATAAGTCATCATTTTAAAAGAAAGGAACTAAACAGAGTGATGTGAAAAACTGAAGGCATCTTTTTAGATGAAATCTGGCGTAACATCACAATCCATCTTTCTGCTTTGTTCGCAAAGGGTCGCAAAAAACAAACAAACAGATTTGACGGTTGCAGAGGTTATGCATCAGAAGTAAAACTGGCCTTAAGAAGGCGGGAACGTCTCCTGCATGTAATAATTGTGTTGCTTAAACAGCTTCAAACCTCTGGAAACTTTATTTATGAATGAACTGGACTGGTAAAGGTGTGATTCTACTAAAACATTTTGTTGTAAATTAGTTTTTATTGTTTAAACAGTTTGAAGGCTTAAAAGTAATCTTCACATATGTTGATGTCTATCTTTAAAGAAAGCAATAAAGCAATTTTCCATCTCATTGTTTTAGTATTTATTATTATTTTTTCTTGTAGTAGCTAAGAGAAAGGCTTCTGACCAGTGTTTAAAATAAATATCTTTGAAAACAAACCTTGACCGAGGATGAAGAGTCGAACCGTCATGTTGACAAAGATCCAGGAAAATCCTAGGAACTGCACGAGGTTGTACATGAATAAGTAGCCCTTCTTCAGTCCGAGGTAGGCTGACCGCACACCAGGAAGAAGAGACAATCATCACCCATCAACAACACAAAGAAAAATGTCCTTTTTTAAAAGAAAAGGTCGAGGTAACAATACAGGAAAACCACTTACGGTCTTTACGAACTCTCGACTCCACGCTAATCCTGTTGATCTTCTCCTCCTAAGAAAATGACAGTGCTTTCAGTTAATATTTATAATTTTGTAATACATGTTATGGTATTTGGAAAAACCTTTCAAAAATGATAGAACTGTTAATAAATAAAAACAAAAATGTCATATTACGCAGGGAATCAAAGGAAATAAAAACTCAATTTATACCAGAGAAACAAAATTAATGGAGACATAACTTTGTGTTTACAAGGTTCTGCTTTATTTTCATGTCAGAAATTTCTTACAATTATAGAACTATCTTTCAAAGGTTAGTTAAATTGGAATGGTTATGGACAGATGGACAGGCTTGCGTTTCCGAGTTATTGAGCATATGTCTGAGACGTCTTGCCTTGGCTTGGAGCTCCATCTCAGCATCAGACTCATCCAGCCAGCGGTCGAAGTCTGGAGCCAGAAACAAAGGTTTCCTTTCCTGCAGCGTCAGTCGTTCCCACCAGCGCACCTCCCGCTTCTTGATCCTGATGTCCACCTGACGCTGGGTGGACTTTTGACGAATCTAAAAGCAAGCATATATATTCCATGATATTGAAAACAAGCAGTTTGAAACATAAACTCACTTGAAAATGAGTCAATAGACTCGCTCATTAAGGGAATTGGGATATAAAATCAAATGGGAAAAAAAAAAGTTGAGATCATAAACTCAGGCAAGATTTTTTTCTGATCTACTGACTTATTGTTTATGTTTCTGTTTATTCTAAGATGAATAAGAGGAAAAGGCTCACACCAACAGAAATGAGAAACAAAGAGTATCAGCACCTCAGGTTTAACAGGTTCCAGGAACTCCAAACTGAACTCATACTGGTTGTCTCCTTTAGCTCCATGGCCCTGTGCTGTGAAGCAGCAACATCATTTTAACCATCAGGAGGAGATTTTTACTCAAGCATTAAGTCTCTAGAAGGTATATGACATGAGTTTAAGCACAAACCTCTGAACTGAAGCGTGTTGTCTTCCTGCAAGCAGATATCAACATTCTGCAAAATGCAAAAAACTGAAGATTAAAACCAGTAAAAGTGACTAAAAGGTATGAGTGGAAATAAAAAATGAAGCTTAAGAGCTATTCAACTTTCTTCAAGAATAAGGACAGTATGCACATTTTTTTGTTAACTAGTTTATACTACACATAACCCAATTTTCAGGCTTTAAAGTGATAGCACGATTCATTAATTGGGATAAAGTAAATATTTATACTTGATACATTTAATTTTATTTGCTTTACCCTGCAGAAAAAAGAAAGCCATCCAATTAAATAAAGGTTAAATGGATGCAGTTGTACTGTAGTCTGCCACATGAATAAACATGTCTCTATATGTATGGTGTGTAAGCAGACAGCAGGTTTTTCAGGAAGCCTGTTTAAATTTTCATGAAGCCATTCTTTAAGAGGGATGAACAAAACCCAGAACCTCCATGAAGGGTCATGCATCTTTGATAAGCCTACAGCCCAACAGAAGCAAGACCAACAGTCTGAATAAACAGCTGCGTAAGAAAAGCAGAAGATTCAAAGAACGAGCTCATTAAAAGAGAACAATTAGAAACTAAAAGGCTCATAAAGAGCTTATGGTTAAACCGTGTCTTATCCCCTCTAGTTAAGCTAAAATGTTTTTATCTTAAAATGCAAAAAAGATCATGCAAAATCTTATATAAAAATATATACAATTATTTATACAATTATAGAAAAAAAAATAAAAATAAAAACGCCCTAAAGTTGCAGAAAACTTCCATTTCTATAATAAAATAAGTATAATAATAATAATAATAATAAGTTAACAAAAACTTCCAGGAACTTCCCGAAAAAGTAACCTGAAAATAGATAACACTCCCAGGATGATAACCAGGAAGTGCCAATAAAATTGTCAGAAAACTACCAAGCAAGTTTCCAGTAGACAGTACGCTCCATGAAGGTTTGAGGAAAGTAACAAGAATGTTCCTGGAAGGATGAGGCTTGAAACTAGATTTTTTTTGGGTGGGAAAAGTCCCAGAAAGCATACTACAGAATTACATGCATTAGTGCTTAGCAGTAATTTTCAAAAAAGTATTTGGTAGGAGGAACGTTTAGAGCAAGTGTCCTAAACTTCGCCTCTGAGATGTTTCAAGTGCCAAAAATTTGGGCATATAGCAGCAGTATGTAAAGGAAAACAGCGATGTGGAAGGTTTGCTGGAGAGCATGAATATGGAAAATGTGGGAAAGAAGCTAAAATCAAATGCTGTAACTGCGGTGGGGAACATACTGCTGCATATCATGGGTGTGAAGTGAGTAAAAGATCTGAAGAAATTAGAAAAGTGAAATGTGAGCTCAGAATAACATATGCTGAAGCTGCAAAAAGAATCCCATCCCAATCAGAAAAACCCAAACCATCACTTAATGGCAAGTTCAAAACATCTGGAGCAGCGTCCAAAAATTGAAGATTCATTGATTGTAAAAAAGAAACATTTTGTTCTTTTCATGGTAGAAGTGATCCATTGTAGTGCTCAGACGACAAGGAAAACCGGAAAAAAAAATATATCAAAATAATAGTGAAAGCTGGAGAAAAGTGTTTTGAAGTCCATGCACCCATCCATCTTCTTTCATTAATCGGGGGGTAGCAGCTTCAGTGGGGAGGCCCAGACGTCACCAGCCACTTGGGCCAGCTCCTCCTGGGGGAATCCAAAGGCGCTCCCAGGATAGCCGAGAAACAAAGTCCCTGGGTCTCCCCCTGGGCCTCCTCCCGGTTGGACGTGCCTTGAACGCCTCAGCAGGAAGACGTCAAGGAGGCATCCTAATCAGATGCCTGAGCCACCTGAAATTGCTCCTTTTGATGTGGAGGAGCAGCGGCTCTACTCTGATTTAAACTGGGAAGTGGTTGAAAGCATGATGGAAAAACCATCAGAAACTGGCACACTGATGATAACTTAAAGATAAATTAGAAATTATGAGGACAATTTTGATTAACCATTTATTATGTTGGGTTAAGTTAAATAGTTCAGAAAATATTATTTATTGTTTTATTCTGAGGGTGAGTCTTGTTTCCTAATTCCTTGCTTAACTCCTTATCAGTTGGTGGCGGTATGCACTTAAACTAGTTTGCCAACCGCCATAAAGCCTCACAAGAAGAAGAAGAACAGCAGCAAGTGTTCTCCTACGTTGTTTATAAGTCACTTCTTCAGGCTTTATTGAGTAATACCCACATGAGTCCTGATCAGTGCTTTTCTATTCATAAGCTTGACACTTTCATTATCACATTCATGAAAACTAGAGAATAGTTTTGGTCATTGTGTAGATTAAAGACCAACTCCCTTAAACCATTAAAATACTTCTAGCTGGTCCTCCTGTTAATGTTCTTCCCTCACTGGGGGTAACAGCGACGACTTGAAATCATATGCTAGGACTCTTTAAATCTTACTCAGTCGTGTCTAAAAAATGCAAAATATTCTACTTATTTCGATTACATTTGGTTGCAGATACTTTGAGCAACGGTCCAACAACATGAAGCTAATGGGGGGGGGGGGCATCTTACCTTTGCATCGCTCAGTTCCACTCGGAGATAGATCTCTCCGTGCCGCTGAGCCCAGTAAACATGAGGAGTCAGGATCTGCATGTCGGAGCTGTGTTTTCTTACAACTACGCGTCCCGAGGAAGGACACAATTGGTTCAGAGTGATCAAATGAAATCCATATAAAGGATGCAAAGCATCTTGCAGACAACTACGGGGAGGAAACGACGACCGGAAATCAATTCTTGGCGGATTTCAAAGTAAAAGCACCGTGCCCTTCTTCCTCTACGGGTTCTATAACATCCGCCCAAGTTCGACATGGCATGTTGCTGCCATCTACTGGGCTTTATCGGCTTCTACAATGCCCGCTTCTTTTGCTTCAAATAATACTGCGATTTCGTTACTTTTTTTTCTTTTTCTTATTATTTTTTTTTATGTAGATCTGATCACAGGAGTTCCTGGTAACAGTAGACCACTATTAACACCAAGACACAACTCCTCATTTGTATAATGAGGCAGAAATGCATACAGAAATGTAAAAACAACAGGCAGAAATAAATAGGGTAAAAAAAATACAAAGAAAGAATAAAACAGAAAACAATATTATCACATGCACATAAAAAATACTTGAAGAAATAAGTAATAAATAAATTGAACATTATAATGGACAATAAATAAATAAGGTAATTATTACAAAGGTGAATAAATACAGAAGCTAATTAAAAGAGATATATACATTTATGTATCACTGTATAATTTAATTTCTACCTACATTTATTTGTTTATTGTGTTTTTAGGGGCAATTAATTGTATGCTTATTTATTTATTGGGCATTTTTTTTATTTCTGTATTTATTTTTAAATATGGTAGAGTTGGTCCTCCATACTATAGGTCCACACAAACAAAATAATTACAAATGTTTTCTGCTTCTCTAGTTCATTTTTAGTTTAAAATGTCAGATTTTTATGGACATGGATTAGAACAGCATTTTGTTCAGTACTTTCATTGTATATAATCATTGTAATTTAAAAAAGGCATCTATACATCAACAGAATTTACAATTTTTGTTATCAAGATGTGGAATAAATTATATAAAATAAATTGCAAAATGCTTGTCAGGCGCTTAACAGACACACTAGTAGATTGTAGGTTGATGGATAGTGTTCATAACTTGACAGTTTACATTTATATGTAAAAACCTTTAGAAACATTTTTATCCTTAAAAGTCTACCACTAATATTTTATTAATTAGTTTTATTGTAATTCAATTCCATTTAATTTATTTCTATAGCACCAATTCACATCACATGTCATCTCAAGGCACTTTACAGTTCACCAGATCATACAGTCAAATTGATTCAAAGTTGATTGCATCGACTCATTGACTGGAAGGCAATCCCTCACACTAAGCATGCTTGTAGCGACAGTGGAGAGGAAAAACTCCCTTTTATTTATTAAATCCTCCCAGATGACCAGCGGCATGCAGCATGAAGAGAGTGTTTTTTTGTTATTAAGAAAAAATTATTGCAAGTAATTTCCTTGAATCTTGTATAACCAACTTAAATGTTTATAATACATCAACAAAATACTTGCTGTTCTTTTAAGGTAGTATATTTTACCTGTCATTAATACAAATTGAAATGCTCTTATGTGTCAATTTGTTTGATTCTCAGAATAGTTTGTTTCCTGTGAAATTATACTCTTATATATGTTTCTAGATGTATCCAGCCTGCATTGGTGAATGACAAAGACTGTCATCACAATTACTCATGATTTATATAGAAGTGGAACTAACGAAATATCTTGAATGCATCATAAGGCGAAACTCCCACATTATGTAGGAATTCGTGGAAAATCTTTGCAGTTCTTGATAACTTTAAAGGAAATTGCTTTATGTATTGTTATGGTTTCTCCACGTTATTGACTAACATGTATTGTTATGGTTTCTCCACGTTATTGACTAACACTAAAGTGTATGCCCACTGCAGCTCGGTAACGCCTCTCGGTCGGTTTCAAAGTGCAACCCCCCGGAAGATTAGAAAAGCTATTTTATGTTAAAGTTCGTCAGGTGAAAGGAGAATATTACTGACGAGCAGCCTTCATGAGCTGCTCATTTTTGTAGCTCTTACAGTTTTTAAAATACTTTATTTTGTAAGGAGATCGTCTGAAGTTCTAGCTGAGGTGTTTGAATTCATATTTCCTCAAAATGAAACGAGAAGGTGGAACCAGCGCTGCTCCGGCTTCCTCCACAACCAAGACCAAAGAGGAGTCACACAGGATGAGGGTTATTTTCGTCGTTTATATTATAGCAGTTCTGGACGTCACCTGGATGTTCCTGTCCTTCTCTGTTACCCCAGTAAGTAGCGTTTACAACGAGAGGCGGATTCTCAAATTTCCGTGATTCCCTTGAAACACACACGATTCACAGCTTGTTAATAATAAACCTTAAAGCTGCATTTACCGATGGCGCAAAGTTGCTTAGGGGCCCCGTCACTGACACCTGGTTGGCCCCTTTCTCAATTGTGGACTAGAACGTCTCATTGCAGACGTAATGTTACGAAAATTTCTCTGAAAACCCAACTGGTAGTAAAACACTGACGGGACCGTATTTATACCCAGACTCATGGCAGATTTTAACATGATGGTGAGCCGTTTAAACACGACACCAATAGCAAAGCAGACAGTCAGACATCCCAAGTTCCAAAAACTAATTTCAGGGAGGTGCTTATCATACATCCCCCTCAAACACACACACGTGTCCCATACACACACACTTAATGCCAGCCACTTTTCAACAACTGCCTATCAACTAACAAATTCTTAAACAATAAACAGAACAGCATTGGTCTTTTATTTTCCATTTGCAATACTTTCCATCTTGTAGCCTTGAACAAACGGTTGTGCTTTCTTCTTTTCATGGGACTTCAGCATACAGTGAGTGCACCTCACCAGGGTGTCATCATTCCTCACCATGGCCGGTTCTAATCAGGGGCCAGCGAGGGCCAGTGCCCCTGTAAATCATGTCCTGGCCCCTGTTATGGCCCCTGTACTGAAGACAATACTTAAAACAAATTCTAATGATGAAATGCGCTGGAACAGACATGCTTACTAATAGGTCCTTTTGACCTATTTCATTCTCTTTTCTTTACAAATTCTGTTTTACTGATTATTCAAAAACTGTTTCTGTTAGGCACTAACCGAACCCTCGTTTAGTAGCTGCTTAAAACAGAAGACATGTCACACATTGTATTTACTTCCAGTTTCTCAATAGAACGAGGCGAAAACACTGTGAATCAGACAGCAATGTCCACCTTATTACTTATGAGTACTTATTATTTGCACTGCGAGTGAGCGAGCATGGCGGAGCTGTGGCTGAGGAGAAACAGAGAAAAACAAATAAACAACAGCAGATTGAGGAAGGCGGTGCTAAAAACCTAAAAAGCCCAAAACCTAATCTGACATCAGGTTATTCAACTTTGCTGGGCAAAGTTGAATAACCTGAGAAATATTTTGTTTGTTGCAAACCCCCAAAAAATAGTGGAGAGGTAGAGCATGCGACCCTGCAGTGCCCTCCCAGGTGTTAGTCCTGTCCCTAACACCTTTGCTGCATAGCGTCCCCTTAGCTCTACCCTTTTGCTAACAGATAAAGGTGATGCTTCTGCAAATTGGACTTCTTATGAATGTCTTCTTGAAACTCTTCCATTAAAGACAGATGTATGCAGTCCAGGACTCATAGTTGTCTGGCAACAGATTCTCTCTCTTGGCAGCTTTTTGGATTAATATTTACAGTTCCAGTATACTTAGATGACCAACTGAGCAGTGCTCCACGAGATGTTCAAGTTAACTATTGTCCCCTATTTTTTTTTATCTATACATAGAGGTGTATGGCTTTAACACAATCAAAGGGAAAGGTTTAAGGGGTATCAATAACTGGAGCCTTTCTGTGTTTGATTTCCTTCATATAAATGTGTTTGTTTTCATTATATCTCCCCAGTATTTGGCAAAGAAACTTGGCTTTGACACATTGTGGTTTGGATATTTGCAAACTACAGTTGGGGTGATACAACTGATTGGAGGTCCCATGTTTGGAAGGTAGGTATAAAGGAGAAGCAATATAAAAGCAGCTTCCTTAAAAACGTATAAAGATATTGTCTCTCATGAAAATGTATCTGCAGTGGTTTTAAAAGCTTCATTTTTTTAAACAGATTTGGGGATCTGTTTGGAGCACGAGCTGCCTTGTCTTTGGCTTGTGCTGCAACCACAGTCTTCTTTGGGCTTCTGGCCGCGGCAAACCATCCCTTCATGCTTTTTGTCCATAAACTACCGACGGTCTTCATGCACGTCATACCTGGTGAGCTAAATGCGCCTTTAGTTCTTCCTTGGTGAAAATGACTACTTGGTACAGGTTTCTGTAACAATAAAAGCGTTTATTTTGTATTCATAATTGGTGAAATCTTATCCACAGACTCTGTTTTTTCGTTCTCCAAACAAGCATTAATCAGTACAAACAATAGTTTAAAATTTGGATTAGTTTAAATTATGGATGCACGATATAATCGCCCCCCTATCGTTATCGGCCTGTATCGGCCTTAAAACTGAATATCGGACATCGGCCACCCCACCGATATTTAACCCGATATTTGATCAGCTTTTGAGTTTCTAAAGTCTAAAAAAAAAAAATACTACTTCTTCTTCTTCCTCAAAAACTTCTTTTTTACGGACTTAAAAACTTCTAAAGATGAGGGAAAAAATATTGATACATTAAAATATCACAATATCTTCATATGCTGATATATTGCCATTTAAAAACACCATATCAATCTCTTTTACTAATGAAATATTGCTATATGTCATCGTTATGCTACGAAATCCCCTGAAATTCATGAAATGTTGCCATATTATATGTTGATATATTGACGCGGTATCGATCTATTTTACTAACAAAATCTCACAAGAATTTGCAAAATATCACGAGAGTTTGTAACAGAACGATGAAATTTCACGAGATTTTGAAAGTAAAATAGATCGATACCGCGTTTTTAAAAATCAATTTGATATCAGCATATGAAAATATATTTGAGCATATTATTTTTCAAAGTGTCAGAAATGGATAACAAAACTGCTATTTTCAACGACTACTTATTTTTGTCCAGCTTTAACATCGGTATCGATATCGGTTATCGGCTACATGAGTTTTAAAATATCGTATATCGGCCAAAATCCCAATATCGTGCATTCCTAGTTCAAATACATTTTCATCTGAGATGTGTATTTAAAAAGATGAGATACTTAAAATTTAATGAATCAAACGAATGTCCTCTTTAATTGTTTTCTGTATTCACTTGGTTTCCTTCTGTCTGCAGCATGTCAGATGGTGGTTACAGACCTCTCAGAGCCTGATAAACGAGCCGACGCTCTTTCCAAACTGGGTCTGTGTTTTGGAATCGGGATGGTCGTTGGCTCCACATTAGGGGGACACCTAAGCACACACTATGGGTGGGTACCACTTTATGTGTGACATTGTTTTATGCATAGATGTGGGGATTCATGTTTCTTTGCATCTGTTTCTTATTCCTCAGGGAGACGTTTGCCGCCTGTGTTGGTGCTGCAGGTAGTGCCTTCAGTTTGATCCTCGTTTTATGCTTCATCCCAAAGTCTACCAAATCTGAGGCCTCTAGAAGCAGCTCCAAATGTAAGAAAGGACACATCCTCACTGTGATAAAGGTAGCATAATGCTGTGGGTATGTTTTCCGCTCAAAATGGGACGACTGATGGTGCTAAATATGAGTCGGTCCTGGAAAAAGGCTGTTGGAGGCTTCAAAACACTAACTGTAAGATGGAGGCTGAGGTTCACCTTCCAGCAGGACCCTTAATATACTGCCAAAGTTACAAAATTATTAAAATCAAAGAATGATTCAGTCAAGGTTCAGACCTAATACAACCGAAAATCCATGGCAGGTTTTGAGCATTGGTGTTCAAATTCAGTCTGGCTGAACTTTAAATATTTTGGAGATAAAAATGGGCAAACATTTCAATCTCCATATTTCAAAGATTTCCAAAAGAACCAGTAAAAGTGATTGAAGTGAAAAGTGGGTACAGATTTTTTATTTGTCAATAAATCAGGCACAATTATTCCTTTTTCATTTTGCCCGAAGTGATAACTGCACCTTACACTGTTTGACTTTTTGCTTTTTAAAACTAATGAATATAGGGAAATAACTACTTTGTCATTACTTTTTAAATTAAGCTGACCTTTAAGCAACATAATCTTAACAGGTTCCTAAACTCGCTGGTTGTAGCATATGTGATAAACTAAGTTATGATGCATCTCCCTGATCCTGTATAAAGCCATTTTTCCTGCCTAAGAGCCAAGTTTCAGAATGTTCATCTTATAAATCAAATTGTAGCCCTTGCATTTGTATCCTCCTCTACATGCCCTGTTGTCCTTTTTTTGTCTCTCAGCCTGGCAATATGCTGAAATCTTCAAGGTACTGGACAAGAAGAAATTAGTAGAAAAAACAGCCAGTGGGAAAAGAAAATCTTTAATACCTTCTCAAAGCTGGAAAATAAAACATTTAATCCAGACTAGTATAAAAGATTTGTCTGAACTGCTGATTTTAAATTAGCTAAAGAGCAGTACTAATAGCATACAGCATTAATTATAACTAAGCAACACTTATAACATAAGCAACATTAATTCTATACATGTTATCTCTATTATAAGTCTGCAGACTTATAATAGAAATAACATGTATCTTTGTTCCCATTAGTTTCCTGTCATTTAACAGTGTGATTAAAGGAGGAACAAACACATATTTAATATGCATGCTTAATATGACTGTGTATGTATATATATATATATATATATATATATATATATATATATATACATATACATATACATATACATGTACTGTTCTACTTCTCTCCTTAAAATGATATAGATGAAGAACAAGAGCAAACAGATCTGCGGATTGCTTACAAAGGTTTTCAGTTCTTTCAACAAACTGACACAAATTGTCAAAGCTGGATGATCCTGCAAAGAGTTTTTCATAAAAATAACATCTGTGTCGCTTTTATCAAAGAAGGTTGGGATTTTTCTGTCCTGAGATGGGAACAGCATGGCCTTAAGTGGCTTCTTTTTCTCTTTACTTTGTCTCTTTTTGTGTGTTTCATATGAATAAGGTAACATTATTCAGCTAGAATCAGATACAAGTTTCCCTCAGCTTTGCAAAGCCCAAGAGTCGCTGTTGTTATCAGTGTTATATGAATACATCAGAACTTATATCAGTTTCCCAGGAAATTCATAGAATTAGTCAGGGAATTAATAGGGGTTATTATTTTCCAAAACAAAATTTTTGCAGGGAAGATTTCTCCTATATTAATTCTCCTATATTGATTTTATTTAATGAAAATTATAGGATAAGGTCAAGAATGCACACTGATAAATTATATTATAATTATAGTTAAATGTTATCGTTACCTAGATTTCTCCTGGTAGTTAACTGTTGTAAATCGGGTTTGTTCTTATTTGTTCCTAGAATATTACCTAGGATTCTTTTTTTTATTTAATTATAAGGATACAACATTAATTTCTTTCTCTTCTTCTCTTTTGGCCTTTTCATGCAGCTGAGAACAAAAACCAGAAGGTATTCAATGTGGGTGAGATCATAAGGCTGATGAAGTTTCCTGGAGTGATGAGAATCTTCCTTATCAAAATCATCACAGGTTTGCCATCAGGTGAGAATAGCTGTTTTATTCCTAAATCATTATAAATTCTTATATATGCAAAATGTAATGCTCCTAAATACAATCAGCAAATATGGCCAATACCATATTTTTGTGCAAAATATACCACAAGATATTCCTCAACATTGCCTTGATAATTAGTTATATAGGGAATCCTGTCTGATCCGTCTCTGCGTTTGAGCAGTTTGGTGAGTGTTAGACAAATATACTTTATTTAGGGAAACTCAGTGAGTAATGGAAGCATTTTTATCTGTAGTTTTTCAGGTTAGTGGATGATATTCTGTTGATCAACCCTATAATCCTGTCAGAAATGTTCAAACTTAATTTTTTTTTTTTATTAAACCGCAAAAAAAATTGAAGACTACTGAAAAGTTTAGTTCCAAAGTTGTAAATTTGTTTTGAAACCTTTTCCCGGCATCTTATTAATCTCCAATCAAATGAGTTATCTTTAGACTGTTAGCTAATGTTTAACTGTGACACTGCTCTCTTTTTTCACTTCTATTTTTAGCTTAAAATACCTAAAGAAAAACAGCACACAGCATGCATACAGTGGACGATGTATTGAAGGATTAAAGTTGTTTCCTAAGTATTTGTTTTTTCTTCTGATGAGCTTCTTCTTCACATCCTCCATAGCAAAAAAAAAAGTGTTCTAAGTGTAGAATAAATGTGTTCCTTCATATACATATATTCATATATTTTTTCTCTCTCTTTTTTCCACCTTATTTTGAGAAAAATTTACAAATGGTTAAAATTAAGTTGAAATTTTAAATAACCTAAAAAGCTGTAAGAAGCTAAATATACTATACTTTAAAGGTTTGCATTGTTTATTGTTAGAAAAATGCTTCAGTCTAATGTTGTGCTTCCTTAGGTATATTTCAGGTGATGTTTTCCGTCATTGTTATGGACTTCTTTAAGCTGGAGGCTCAACAGAATGGCTACCTGATGGCCTACTTTGGCATTGTTCAAATGGTAAAAATGAACAATTCCTAATGATTAAGGTTTTGGACTCTGACAGCTTCACTGAATACAAACGTGTTTTTCCAGGTTGTTCAGGGAGGAGTGATCGGTAGACTCACATCCAGATTTCCTGAAAAATCCCTTCTTCTTTTATCCATTGGTATTACTGGATCTGTGGGACTGGCTCAGGTAAATATTAAACTCACACTCACTAATTTTCAGTGCATTAGCAGATGATTTTTCAGGACCCTTAGAGTATGACTAATTTTGGACATAACTAAGTTTTCTTTCTTGATGCAGGCTTATATGCAGACTGTGTTGCATCTCTGCATCACCGTCACACCTTGGGTCTTTTCTCTCAGCTTGTTTAGCGTTATCACCGACACCATGCTCACTAAAAGTGTCCCTCCCTCTGATACAGGTAGTTTTCTTCAGCTTCTCTTATTTTGCTTCCCAGAAATAATTTACCAAGCAATGATTCTGTGAAAGGATTCCTGTGCTGCTATTTTAACTGCACCTTTAAAAACAAAAAGGAAGAATTACCCAGTAATATTTTTTTAATACATTAACCTTGTGATCCTTGTTTGCTCTTGTTTTTAGGGACGATGCTGGGACTGTGTGCATCTGTCCAGTCCCTGATTCGGACCATCGGACCGACTATCGGTGGTTTCCTGTACATGAACTACGGCCTCCCCTCTATAGGGCTACTTGAGTTTTTTGTGAACCTTGTTGTGTTTGTGTATCTGCTGTACCGACAACTCAAGAAGGCAGAAAAACATAAAGAATGAATTTGCCATTCACTCTTTCAATGTTTTATATTTTAAGAACAAAGAACCAGAGGCAAAAAGAAGAACATTGCTGTTTAGTCGTAGAAACAGCAGTTTAATGTTATGCTGTAATTCTCCATTCAAGCCAGACAAGTTTTAAATCCATGACTCTGTTGTTCAGGTAGAATCCAGTAGATGGCAGTAAAATATCCAAGTAATTGTACAAGTTTCAGTTTGAGGTTTTCATTTTCAAGGCCTCCCCTGAGAATGTTTTAAATCATGATATTTGAAGTAATTAAAGACATCCCAGATTTGTATTTTTTGTAGATTTCAAAAAATGGCTTATACTGTTATGTAATGGATCTATTAAAATCAAATTTTAAAGCATTTATTAATTAAAGGCAGTATTTTGATAAACAGCTATTACTGCAGCCTGCATTTGCTCTACAAGAACATCTGTTTCTAGCAAATGCATGCTTTAAAATCACCTTTTAAACACTTATGCAGCATAGTCGTACTCATCTTTATGTGTTCTGGAAAATGAAAGACTTTTATAATTTTAAATTTGAAGATCAAGTTAATCTTGTAAACAACAACGCACATAAAGTTATTATAGTTTTTTATAATCTCTCTTTGTTGTAATACTAGTGTTTTCCTCATCTGTTAAATTTCATTTGTGTGTGTTTTTTTTTTTTTTATAAACTATGTTAAAAGATGTTAAATGAATTGCAGTACCTCATGATTACACCAGGGGGCAAACTTCTTAAATCAATAAAATGAAGTAATAAAATATATCTTTTTCTCTTTGTACCTTGATTGACATCAACTTTACTTTATCCAAAGTCAGAAGAAAATAATGTTTAATAGCTGCTCATCAAGTAGAACTTATATTACATCATAAAATAGAGCCTAAACTAATCTAAAGGTCACTTGTGCTGAACATTTCTTTCTAAATTCTCTAAATTAGCTATTGGAAAAATATCTGAAAGGTTTTATTTCTAAAATGAACATAGAATAGGATTAACTGGAAATCAGCCAACAGGATTACAAACCTATCTTTCTAAACTTGGTCGGGGTGACTCACCATGACTTACAATGCTTTATCTTTTACCAAACCAGTGTGCCAGTGTGATATTTGAATAAAAAAATGAAAGAAACCATCCAAAATTAGTCACTGAAGAGAAAAAAAGACCAAAAGGGGAAGAGCAGTAGTACACAAGCAGCTTGTAAATTCTTTAGAACTGATAGAACTGTAAGCTAATTGAAATTTTCCTAATTCTGTCTTTAAATTGAGATTTTCTTTAAATGTAACAAATGAAATGCCTCCAACCATAAAATTAATCATTTGACAAAGGAATGAGCATATAATCTCTCTGTCCATTTTTTAGCTGTGCCCTTCTGCCAAGCCGCAGCATGTTGCAATGATGTCATAAAATCAGCAGCAGGTGTTTTCTTTGTTCCCCTTCAAAGCACTTTATTTTTAAAATATTAGATCGAACAAACCCAGATAAACTGATCTTATTGTAACAGAAGGTTAAACTCATTATGTTGATCAGCTTCTCCATGAGCAGATACAATTCTGACTGAAAAACCCAAGTGAGCAAACTGGACAGCAGTTTTGGGAAAAGGGACATAGGAACTAGTGCTAAAAGTCTAGCTTTTGTTTATAATAATTTCATAACAAAATGAACTGTTTTTAATAATGTTGCACTGATACCAGTATCAGACAGGGCCCCGATACAGCAATAAAATGGTAGTATTGGTGTCAGCGTGTACCAACTAATAGGGCAATGACACCATTTTGAGACCCCACCAGATGCTTCAACTATTCCAGGTAGGCAATAAACAGTTCTACTGGATTCACTTTGTATGAGTGTTTTTCATTTTCCTTTTTTCAAATAGATGGTGTCGGTATGGTATCGGTATCGGCCGATACTACACAGCCAGGTATTGGTATCGGGGCCAAAAAACAGTATTGGCGCAACACTAGTTGTTAATGAAATTTTTTATAAGTTATAATTAGAGAAATGAAATAAGTGTTGCTGTTTATATTTTTCTAAATTGTAAAATCAGGAACCTTTTAATGATATTAAAAAGCAATATCTTTTTAGCATGCAGCGACAGACAAATAATATCCAAACAAGATACTTTACAACACAAATGGATCCAGTCATAAGGGTCAGTTTAAATTAATCTAGTCCTATTCTGATTCAACCACTTATACTTCAATACAGCACTAGAACAGTAAAAGTCTAAACTAGTCACTTAAGTAAAGGTTTGTGAAAAAGCAATAAATCTTGTTCTTTGAAAGACATGTTGAAATATTCAAGATCCAGTAGCCTTGTGTAAAGGTTATATTTAGTAATGCTTAGTCGGCAGGTCTTGACTAGCTGTTTAACCGGTCTGCTCTTTAATATGATCAGGCGTCTCAGTGGGAATCCCATCATCTGAGTCTGATCCCACACCAGGGTCATTACTCGCTGTAGGCTGAACACACTTTTCGTAGAACGGTTGTCCAAGTCCCATAAGCTTATGAATCCTCCGCCTCTGCCTCCCTGTCTGACAGACTCAAAAGCTGGGGGCGGATTTGTAAAGTGTCACTGTATCTGTGGCCCCTGCAGTGGAAGGGGGGGTCCTGACCACTGGAGGGGGTGCCTTGTTACACTTGGCCCTTTGAGCCAAAGGGAGCAGGGACAATGGTGCTGTTAACACTCCTGACGGGGACCTTTGGGTCCTCTGAAAGTTTAATGTGACTCTGTGAGCGACCTGCGCTCACTGAGGTCAGAGATGAGCGCAGCCCGGCGACGCTCCGAGGCTACCTTGTGTTTGCACATTGGAAACTAAATGCCAGTGGGGGGGCCCTGAGTCCCGGGCTTGTTTTGTCCCCTGCGGCATGGATAATGAGGCATCTGTCTCCACCTGCCTCATGGAGAGATGAGGCTCACTGTCTCTCTTAAAAAGAGCACAGGTTGTCTATCTGATTTGACCACAGCAGGCCAGGCATATGATCTGAAGCAGAGGAGCCTTGAGGTCTAAATGTTTTATACTGTGGCTTTCTTATCTCTGTTTAAAGACCTCCACACGATGCAGGAACACTTTACTCAGCGTCTTCTTAAATGCATCCAGGAAATTACAAACACATCAATCAGACATTAGGAACTCAGCAAGAGTGAAGAGTTTCTACCAGTGAAAACTACCAGCGACCATAGCTCATATCTGTAATGGATTCATTGGTTGAATTTTGCAACAAACAAATGAACCCAAATCCCCCCCCAGCAGGTCGTCGTACCCTCCACAGCTCCCTTCTTGTGGAGCTTGCAGAGTTAGTTGGCCACAAGAGCGAAAGGTGATCTTAGAGAGGTTTTGTCTTGCTGTAATCAGACAGACATCATCAATCATGAGAAGGGGAATTACTGCTGGTTAACAATAGGAGATAAGATAATGAGTGGGGAGACAGAGACCCAGTGAGGGACAGCTGGAGTTCTGATTACACGGCAGAAACCAACTCCAAGGTGAAGAAGAGAAAAAAAGGAAATTCATTATTAAGTTTCGGGTCTTCATGCCTGTAACTGTAGTCATTTTTTTGATAGATAACATCCTCAACCACTTCTAGTAAGGTAGAGAGGTGATGTCAAGAAAGAGATACTAACCTAAATTTGCTAAAATGTTCAGTTAGTGTTATAAAATCAAATAGGTTGAATTGAGACAAGCAAAATGGTTGAGGATTATGTTCATTTTACTTTGGTTCACGATGTGGAGACAATGAAAAAAATGTCAAATGCATCATGGTGGAGAACTGTATTAATGGTACTATGATACTAAGAACTGGGACACAATCTCTGAGGTGATACTGTAGATGTTTCTTACTCGTGGACGCTTGTGTTCAAAACCATTTTAGGCTATCTGCATGTCTATTGGTCATTTCAAAGGCATGTGAGTAAGAAAACCCTTCAACATGTAAGTTTGTGCAGTTTGTTAAATTCTACTTGGTCTTTAATTGCAGCAACTTGTTCTGATCAGATGAAACTAATGCTAATGTCCACACTGTAGGGTTGACCTCATGTGTCTTTTGAGGTGTAGTTGAGGAGCTATGATGCTGTGGGCCCAAACATTCCAGGAACCATTTAAGACATAATAACTTAACCCTTTATAAGGCAAGTTACCATTTTTGATCTTTTGCATACCCCTTATAAATGGAATCCCCCCCCGTCCCTCAGTGAGGCCTAGAAACACAAGATCTATATCCAGACATTCAGCAGAGATAATTATAAATGGCTGTACATCTTATTTTGGCAATTAACCAATTAGACAAGGCTTTAATTGATATATTACCTACTGTAAATTAAGTTAAAAAATAAGTTAACCAGTCAAGAAAAAAGGTAAAAGGTTGATTGAAAAGTTTAAAAGTAAAATAAAAAAGTTAATAAGCCAAGTTAACAATTATATTTAGGTTTATAAACAAAAAAAAATTAAGTGCCAGTCAGTATTAAAGGAATAGTACACCCAAAACATGATTAGCCTTCATTTTCTACTCACCCCCATGCTGAACAACACTCTGGAGTACTTTTTTGATATCTCAAATGCATCTGGAGATCTGGGAGGCTTCTTGCTGTCTGCTGACATTCAAATAATGGAGGTCTATGGTGCCCGAGGCAGAAAGGTCCATAAAAGTCCACAAAAAACGTGTCAATATTCCTCCATACTGCTCCTCCAATGTATTCCAAGTGTCCTGAGTGGGTAGCATCCAGAATTTACTCGAAACGAAGTCATTTAGAATGTTTTTAGAGCATAAACAGTAGTGTATAGGATTTCCTGAAAGCGCGCGCCTGCGCGCTCACGACGCTACGGAAGCCGGCAGACCAAACCAGATGAAAGTGCGCATTCAGCGTCTGCTCTGCCAATAATGCAAGCGTAGAAGAAGAAATGTGCTGTTTACCTGTGCAAAGAAAGAAACAACGAAAGAAAAATGTCTGAGGACTTCAGTGTTGAGGAAGAGCATGAGTTCTTTGCCGAGCTGAATGCGCTGGTTTGGTCTGCCGGCTTCCGTAGCGTCTTGAGCGTGCATGTGCGCGCTTTCAGGAAATCCTATACACTACTGTTTATGCTCTAAAAACATTCTAAATGACTTCGTTTCGAGTAAATTCTGGACGCTACCCACTCAGGACACTTGGAATACATTGGACGAGCAGTATGGAGGAATATTGACACGTTTTTTGTGGACTTTTATGGACCTTTCTGTCTCGATCACCATAGACCTCCATTATTTGAATGTCAGCAGACAGCAAGAAGCCTCCCAGATCTCCAGATGCATTTGAGATATCAAAAAAGTACTCCAGAGTGTTGTTCAGCATGGGGGTGAGTAGAAAATGAAGGCTAATCATGTTTTGGGTGTACTATTCCTTTAATGCTTCTAATGTTGGACCAAAAAAATAAAAAAAGTGTTTCTTTCACTCTCAGAGTGTTTTTTGTGAATTTCTTATAGAAGCACTTTTTGTTATTTTTCTTAATATATTCAGGCAATTTGAGGTTTCTTTTTATTGCATTGAAATTCATTTTTGCAATCAAAATATCTATATTTTTTTAATCTTACAAACGTAATAAGGTCTTGTCCTGGATTCCAATAACACTATAAGCTTGAAATTTTTATCAAGTATTTCACTGAGTGCCTTATAAAGGGTTAAAATTATAGAAGTACCTGGAGATCTGACTCTGCTAAGAAACAAAAGTGGGTCAACCTCATTGCATGCTGTCACCAGACATTGACT